TTGGGCGTAAGGCTCTGCTCACATGGTCAAAGAGTGTGTGTGTGTGTGTGTGTGTGTGTGTGTGTGTGTGTGTGTGTGTGTGTGTGTGTGTGTGTGTGTGTGTGTGTGTGTGTGTGTGTGTGTGTGTGTGTGTGTGTGTGTGTGCGTGTGCGTGCTGTGGGCTCCGAAAATGAAATGTCGTTGGACACAGGGCTGCGGGGGATCCAGCTGCCTTGGAGTTCACGTGTGCAGCACAACCGTCTTGCTCCCATTTCCAAGGCTCCAAGGGTCTTTAGGGTTTAGGGTTTAGGGTTTTGGGAATACAAAGTGGGTTTTAGGGTTTAGGGTTTAGGGGTTTGACCCCCCTTGACAAAGGGGCAAGGGGTTTGACAGGGTTCGACCTTCTTTGACTTAGTTGTCCAGTAACCTGGGGGTACTACAGGTGAACCTTTTGGGATTATAGGGGAGTCTATTGCCCCCAAAAAGGTTAAAGGTTACCTACTCTACTACTAGGTTGGAAAGGGGTTTGGGGTGGATTTGGGCTTGACAGGATGTGATCTAACTCGGAAGGCGCGGTGGGGTTCGGGTGGGTCTGGAGCGGGGTTTGGATATGTTTAGGGTTTAGGGTTTATAGGGTTTAGGGTTTAGGGTTTAGGGTCTAGGGTCTAGGGTTTAGGGTTTAGGGTTTAGGGTTTAGGGTTTAGGGTTTAGGGTTTAGGGTTTAGGGTTTAGGGTTTAGGGTTTAGGGTTTAGGGTTTAGGGTTTAGGGTTTAGGGTTTAGGGTTTAGGGTTTGCTTGGCTGGTTGTTTTTCTCCGAGGGGCGCGAGCGGGTATAAGGGTGGGCTTGGCTGCTTGTGTTCATCCAGTTAGGGCTGAACTGTCGCTTCATGATCGAGTACTTAGACTCCGCGTGTTATCCAGGAGCATTTTTGGCAAACACATCGCACGACTTCCGTAATTTTGCAGCCCCAGACGCAAACGTAAAACCCAGTGCAAAACCTCGGCGCAAACTTCTCACGATCGGAGCAAAATGGCTGGTTTTCTCAACATCGGTTCTTGGTGCAGGATGCAAGTTCAAGGAACCTTGATGTTCAATTTAGCGACATCAACCTTGCAACCTCTGATCAACAAAAAACTTGTAGGAAGCAGACGAGCTGCATGCGGGGAGGATGTGCCAGAATCGGCAATGCAAACTTCATGATTCACCTGGCGCAGGTCATACTTGGAGGTCGGAGGCCTTGGCAAGTGGTGTTTCTGCAGTGCTACAAGGTTACTCAGCAGGATGACCCAACAGGGTCCCTCTTCAGGTACTTCTAACTCCACTGAATATCTACTTACTTACTTTAGTCACCCGATCCCCCCAAGCATGCGCTTGCGCAGCTTGCACATGGCAGCTGCTCAGCCGCAGAGCAAAAAAAAACTACGACCAAGCCGCAAAAGTGCAAAAATGCAAGAAGCACCGCCGCCCTGTGTCCTGAACCGAAACTTCCTGAACCTATTGCCAACCTTTGCAGTACGTGAATGTTGGATAATATCTCCAAGCCGAAACCATAAGCAGCACATCCTAACATCACATCCCTAAACCATGAACTTCCCTGTGCCTCCTCAAGCGTGCCCTGGACGTTCCTGAGCTTGTGGGGCTTGCCTCAGCACGCAGACTGGGGCTTAGGGTTTCGGGGTTTCGGATCAACAGCATAGGGTCTTGAATTTGCGGTTGAGGCACTACTACGGCTTGAATAAAGAGTGTCATGAGTCATACATGTCACGGGATTGGTATAGTACGTTACGTTGATTCGCACAGAGTGTGAGGCGTAAGTGCAACGATAAAGCCACAGTAGTACAAGTTTGGTATTCAGAACTGACAAGAACACGGATGCTCGAGTTTGGTACGGACTACTAGACACATGATCTCTGTTTTGAGCTTGAAAGTCTCCGAAGAAGACTTCCTTCCGAAGTCCACAGACAGAGGTAAACACTCCATAATTAGCTCGAAAGACGCCGTCTGCAATCTACTTCCTGAGCCCAAATTCGCCCCTAAAGACTCTGAAGCCTTGTCAATCGAAATCCCAAGTCCCTGCCCTTAACCGCCTTCCCCCTGCCAAGGAACAGCAGCCGCCTCTGCTCGCTCCACTCGCCTCTTCTTATTAGTGGTTTCGGGTTTCGGTTGACGTTTCAGTGAAACGTGCCACCCGCCAAGCTGCATTACTGCGGTGTCTGATATCCGCGGAGAACTGAGGATTGAAAGGAAAACGCCAAATACTGCTTTGTGGGCTTCACTTCATCAAACTTAAGAAGCATCCAAAAAATGTGTTGATACAACTTACGACTTATTTTGGTGTTCAGGGAGGGTTCAGAGTTTAGGGTTTAGGGTTCTGCGCCCACTACATCCAAGTCAAAGCAACCACATTGGGTTTAGGGTTTAGGGTTCAGGGTTCTGCGCCCACTATGTCTGCAGTGGGGAGGGACCGGGACTGAGAGTAGAATTTCTGGGACGAGCGCCGAAGGGGGCATCAGGGAAATGATTGTCAATACGACTTTGTATACCTCTGTGTACTCTCGTGTGTAAGGCATTCTACTGCACCACCCTTTTATTTAATCCTTATAAACATCTACCCTCAGATCTTACAAACCCCGTAGAGGCGGAGGCATCTTGTGATATTCTTGTAGTCTTCTCTTGTTGAATTACTCCATATTATTTCTTATATGACTTCATTGTCATTCAATACTACCTTCAATTATTGCATTCGCTGATTCTGTTCTTGTACTAAACGAGAAGATGAGAAGACCCTAAACCCTAAACCCTAAACCCTAAACCCTAAACCCTATACCCTAAACCCTAAACCCTAAACCCTAAACCCTAAACCCTAAACCCTAGGCGATAGCCGATGAGCCTTGCTGCATCGCGTTCGAACCGCTCGGCAGCTGTCAGCTTTGCCTGGCTCCAGATTTCCCCAAGCAGCTTCAGGGTTTCAAACCCTAAGCCCTAAACCCTAAACCCTGAACCCTGAACCCTGAACCCTAAACCCTAAACCCTAAACCCTAAACCCTAAACCCTAAACCCTAAACCCTAAACCCTAAACCCTAAACCCTAAACCCTAAACTTTAGGTTAGATGCAGGGCTTAGCAGGCTCAAGCCCAAGTCGTTTTAGTTCCAGGGTTGACGGTTCAAGCCCAGCGGTGTCGCTGCCAAACGGGTCAGGGGGCAGGGCCAAGCCCCCATGACCCCAAACCTACGCAAAGAGCCAGACACCCAGAAGCAGGGCCGGTCCTCCTCAGCAGAAATCCGGCTACGAGCTTTCAAGCTACGATGACTGCAGCGTACGCTATTGGAGCTGGAGCTGCACCGCCGCTGCTGGCAACGAGTTCTCCCCTACCTTGTACCGATGTTTCTTTTTGCTACCCGCCGCCCCGCCCCGTGCTCGGCCGTAGCCCTTGCCTTCGGCAGACACGCCCATTCCGTCGACCCCCACCCCTCTCACACCAACCCCCCCCCCCCCCCCCAAAAAAAAAAAAAACTACAGATCCCTAAACCCTAAACTGCAAGTAGCTGGCGGTTAGCAGGTATGCTTTCTGGTTTTGGGGCTTTTCTGGGGGCAGGAAGCAGCCCAGCTTTCCTGACTGGTGCTCAAGCAGGCATGAGGGGTCGAGTGGCGGAGAGCGGGTCTACGGTTCCAGGCGTGTGAACAAAAGAAGTAACGTCAATTCTGGGAGAAATTTGCAACTTTAAGCTTTTTGGGTGAGACTTGACAAGTGTTTGTTGACATTGTAAGATTGTGCTCATGTTTCCTTTGCCTTCGGAAGTGCTGTCCAGGACTTGTTCGTGATTGCTTTCCTTGCATCTACTTGAGATAAAGGGTCAACAAATTCTCTCAAAAACCGGCGCGGCCCGATTTCATGGGTATTGCCCAAAATAGGGGTACACACTTATACCCCCCCCCCCCCCACCCCAAAAAATAGAATCCTCCTAAAGGGGGCCCCCCCCCCCCCCCCCCCCCCCCCCAGTTCCGGCAACCCCCCACCGAGCAGCAAGCGCATCAAAGGTTGGGACGCCCGACGCCGCCGCAAGGGTCGGAAACATGGGGCAAAGAAGCAGCTCTAGCACATCAGACTAAGGACCCCTTTTCTGCTACTTTAAGGGAATTAACGGTTCTTTGGCTCTTCGGGTTCTTTTTCTGCACAAAATCGCATCCCCTGCAGCTACTGAGCATGACAAGACATTTCATAGTTTTCCGATGTTAGCGCGAAATGGGAATGGCATCCCCACTGAGCACGTGCGAAGCGGAGAAGGGTCTGGTATAGTCTGATCCAAACCTCCCAAGCAGCCAGCCTCCTGAGCTCTCTCTCCTGCCAAGTCTCATGGTTCACGCAAAACACGTGCTGGACACTTAACCTACCCGAACGTCAGTACTAACAAATGCTGGTGAACACCAGCTGGGCCGACGGAGTCCATGAGAGCCCTCCGGAGGCCGTCGCAGACTGCGCTTTCGCGCAAAGCTGCCTCCGCGGCAGAAGAGACCGGAGGAGAATTGCCACAAGTCACCCAAGGCGATCCCTGATGTACTTATAACTGTACTTATCGCCATATTAGGGCACTTTGGGGGCTTATGAGCAGCTTATAAGTACAGAAAGAAATTGGATAACAAGTACTATGAACCTCCAGGGGCCGTATGCCCGCTCTTGCTGTAGGCCCGGTAGTTGTTGGAGTAAGCTGGAGTAGGCTCCACGACATGGCGCTGAAGCTATACCTATACTCCCCTTAGAACCTACATAAAAATAATGCTTTTCATATCCTCTTGGGTTTTATATAAACAAAAATAAAAAATAATTCCCAAGGGGGATATAGATACCGCCAAATATCGCTGAAGAACTCGTACGGGCCCTCCCCGCCAAAAAACCATCATAGAGGCATCCGAACATGCCACGGCTGAGCGCTCCAGTCGCATTCTTGGCCCTCCATCCAATGCGGAAAGCTCCGTCCACGCGGCTGCAAGGCAACTCACGCCCGCAAACTGGCTGCAGTCATGGTCACGCCACCGAAAAAAGCAACTGCCCAAATTGGTCCGGTTAACTTGGAGCCACCTGCAAAGCCCAGCTGCCTGCAAGCAACCTTGGCATTCGTGTCATCCCAGTCATTGTCGCAAATGGAGCCCCATTCCCCATTGACTCCCACCTCCGGCCTGCCGTGTTCAGCAGAGCCTCCTGCGAGCCTCAAGCTCACCCTGATGCTCGTCAGCGTGGTGGAAGTGGTGCTGGATGCTGTCGATGAAGTCGAGGTCGAAGAGGCTGAGGTACTGGATGAAGTCGAAGTGAGCGTGGCGGTGGTGCTGCTGGAAGTGCTGTATAGTGACGAAAAGAGTTGGTACTGGATTAAGTGGAAGTCAGTGTGGCGGTGGTGCTGCTGGATGTACTGGATAGTGTCGAAGTCAGCGTGGCGGTGCTGCTGCTGGATGTACTGGATGGGGCTGCTGTCCCCACTGGGAGTAGTAAAACGAGTGTCAAGCTACGATGGACGGCACGTCGCTGACAAAGCAACGGGAAGCAGATCATCGCTCGAGGCTCGCCATCCCTGTGAGGCTTTGCAGAACAGCTGCTATGGGCGAAGGGGTACTAAGCAAGGGATTACACAGGGCTTCCTCCCCTACACCAAACATTGGCACAACGTTCTCAATATCGGTCGTAGTCTGGCTCTTCTCTTCCACTGGCTAGAAAGATGATAGTCGTTTACGCTGCTAGACGCTGGTGCCGGTACCTCGCCCCTGCCCCCTTTTCTGCACTATTGTTGGAAACAGGTTCAACATCCCTATTCCTACAACACAGCTTGGGTAAGTTGCACGTAGCGTGTTCATGCGCGTGCACTTGGCAACGAGCCGCAGCCACCTGAACGGCTGCAGCACGCAAGAGGGTCGATTTGAAAAAATTGGATTCAGAGGTAAAAGGAGGGCCCTAGTTATAAGTAGAGTTATAAGAGCCCCAAATTGGGGGATAAGGAGCCTAACTTAGGTGAAAAGTCCCTTAATTCTAGTTAGTATAGTCAAGGGGCCCCTCCTTTTAAGGGCTGCAGAATCCCCCCCATCGGTGGCTTTGATTGGAATCGCGGAAGGCTCACGTGGTGCCTACAGATTTGATGGCGGCTAAGTGTAATCTTGCTACGTTGGGGTAACACCAGAAAGATCCAACGGGTGTAAGACTACACTCTTTTGGGCTTTTTCGCATCCAAAACATGGAGTAGAGAAAGGGTGACTTTATTCCCCCAGGGTGCAAATTTACGGCCCAGGCCCCAATAAGCACATGTTACATTTTCTTGGTTGGTCAGTTCACACCTACAAGGAGGGGCCCCTTTACTATACTGCTATGATTTAGGGACTTGTAACCTAAGTTAGGGTCCTTATAGCCCAATTAATTTGGGGCTCTTATACCTCTACTTATAACTAGGGGGCCCCTCCTTGTACGACGGCCTCCAGTTCTTCGGCATGGGCTGGTTAGTCGCTTGATAGCCCAGCAACCATCTTAGAATCCAGAGGCTAAACCTTGGGGACGAAATGAGAACCCTAAAAGGGTTTATGGTTCATATTACCTTCATAAGAACTATAGTAGTCTAGGGTATAGGACCCCAATTTTAGGGGTCATTTCGTCCCCAGAGGCTAAGGAGGCTGGAAGTCTGGAAGCCGGCCGGTGCAATTGAAGATCGGGGGCGGCCGGGTTGCCAAGGCGTGGAGCAACTTATCGAACTTTAGCAAGGTGTTGGTTCGCGATTTGCACTGGGGGCATGGAGCCTTCACGAAAGTGAACTGCCCACCAAACATCCTCGTGAGAGGACACGTGTTCGCCGGAGCGTTCCCAGGTAGGATTTCTAGCAGGCGCTGTTGCAAGGCACCGTTTAGCCAGCGCGCCGTGTTCCAGGAACCGCCACCATGTGCAGCAATGACGGTGTCTGCCTGCCAGCGTGAAGAGAAGCATCTGATACAATGGAAGTTCAGTGACAACGATTAAACAAAGTCGTGTGATCATGGCATGCCGTACGTACACTCCCCGAGGCACATGCAGATGTAGCATGTTTGCTGGCTTCCTACTTTCAGTCTTCTTCTCACTCTCCCTCTCTCTCTGCAGAGGTCAGCCTTCACCATGTTTGACCATGTTTCACCATCTTATATGTTATACAAGTGATAGCTCTGCTCTCCTTCAATGTTGTGTTGACGTCTTTCTCATTTTCAATGGGCTTGGTCACATGTTTCTCTCGGATTCAACTCACAACGTAGGTCGAAGATCACTTGAGGACCTCTTGCGGATTTGTGGGATCTGTCAGCCTATATGGCAACTCAAGTCTCAGGAATCTTGCTCTCGTCGAAAACAAACTCCTGGGCCAACAACATCGCATCCCGTGATTGGCCTGCTTTGGGGCAATGGCAAGGAAGTAGAAGAGGATGTTGGGGTAGAGAACATGGAGGTATTCTTCAGGAGCAATGATCATGACCGAGGCACAAGCTGTGCAGACAGATGGAACTCATACTGGCAAGCACGGAAAACGTGCAGTCGCAACAGAAATCCTAGTGGTATGGTAGAAGTAGACAATAATCCGCGACACCGACCGAAATGCAACCATGCTCGTCGATCTGTTCTTAAACCAGGCTTTCGCGAAAACAGGGCAGCGTGAACATATTGGAGATTGAAGTAGCAGTCGCAGTGGCAGTAGTAGTCGTCGTAGTCGTCGTCACACCACACGGAATGCAACATGATAGTTTAGGGTTTAGGGTTTAGGGTTTGGGGTTTAGGGTTTAGGGTTTAGGGTTCAGGGTTTAGGGCTTAGGGTTTAGGACGGTTTAGGATCCCGATGGCCTGGCGCACGAGGAAGATCTGATCTAAGTAGGGGATGACCCCAAAGGACACAAAAAGCAGCGTGACGTTGGCATAGACTTTGGAGAGTCGCAGGGCCATCCTTGGGGACGAATTATGAGCCCTAAAAGGGTTTATGGTTCATATTACCGTTCTAGGAACCATAGTGGTATAGGGTATAGGACCCCAATCTTAGGGTTCATTTGGTCCCCAAGGATCTCGTCACCGTTGCTGACATCCCGCTGCCCGCAGCCGCGCTGCTCAGGCCGCTTGAAACCTTAGCTGCGCAGGTTTCTAGAAAAACTCAAGTTTAACCTTTGGGGTTCTAGGGGGATTATGGGATTATCGGGAGATTCTATTACCCCAAAAAGGTTAAAGGATTACCTACTCTACTACTAAGAAACAGCTCTTTGAGGAGATCCTGGTGATCCAGAGGTAGAAGTTGGACTCGGTAGGTGTGATTCGGCAAATCTCAACATTGTAAAGCGTAAGGTTGTGCTGACTTGCGAGCTCTTGCAAGAAGCGGCAAGCATCTGAGTATACCTGTGGCTTCTGTCTCCACTGCGACTCGAACCAGGGAAGGGCCGCCATTTGATAAGAAAGTAGCAAAGGAGATCGCCCTTGGCATGACTGGTCTTTATCAAACTTATACCAATGAGGGCCGGTGTACCCACTGGGGCTGGTAAAGACGTGCCTCACATGCTGGAGATAAGCATCCTCGTGCAAGCACAAGTCGTGGAAGGACACCTTCATCGCAGAAGGACAGTACTGTATAACCTCAGAAGACAACGACTGCCAATCTTCGAAGAGATGAGGCCTGTCCGGAGCCTTGCTCTTGGGGCCATTGGCATACACGGACTTCCCAAAGCCCTTGTAAAGAACAACCCGCGTATCGTTTCGGTTGAAAGCCGCTGTTTCCAGCAAGTTCTGTAGGATGAAAAGATTTTGCTGATCCGATTGACAATGTCCCGGATTCCCTGTTGTGCAGTCGCCAGCAGACACATACGTCATACCCTCCCGAAGAGCTTTCTTCTTCTGGATCTTCCATTTTGTCAAGGCCGCTGCTACATGATCCATCAGCTCACCCTCTACTTTGTCTTCCAAGATCGTGAAGACGTGGCTCAGTCTTGTGTCCATCTTTCGTCGGACTTGCATCGAATTCCTCAGCGGATGTGTCTTGTGAAGTGGCTTCAAGAAGTCATTGAGGTCGATGCTTCTGTTCATGGTGCATTGGGCAACCCAGTGCAGTGTCCCTTGGGGATCCAGAACCTCCACAACATCGTACATCTGGCAAGACCATACCTTCTGCGCCTGCGCATATTGGGCACAAAGAATCTTTGATGCGCCATCCCCACAAAGGGTCACATGGTTTTGCTGCAGCTTCCGATAGCTCTGCAGTCCGAGAAATCTCTCCTCGCACGCGCGGAAAAGGGGCAACGCCTCGGGTGTGTACCGGAAGCGCTGATAAGCTGTGGGCTGGGGCGTCTGGGTGGCAAAGCTGAAGTCTGTCTGAGAGGACTCGGACTCTGAGCGGTTTGTTGCAATGTCAAGCCCTGGCTTTCTGGCAAGGGTCGTGTCTGCAGTTTCACCTTGGTGCTTGCCGAAGAAGGAGCGCAAGTCCATGAAGATGCCCAGGGCCGCCAGAAGCAAAAGAAGTCCCAGCGCCAAACTAAGTCTGCGGTTGCAGATCTGCATCGCCACATCAGGGCGCCGGAGTTGGAAATCTTAGGGGGGGAAGCTTTTGGTGGGTATCTTTCGCGGTCTAACATTCACTTGGTGCGATGTTGTCTGTGTCTTGAGATGCGGGTTTGATCCAGCATGCGCTGACATTTACACACTCGCGAAACCCTGCCGCACATACTAGCAGCCGGACTGCCCTCAACTCGCTGCACCTTAAGCCCAAGAAGCACTTCTGAGACCCTCGACACTCAAAGCCACAAACCCTAGCACTCAATCCCTACCCTTTGCTCGACATTGGCTTTTTTTGTGAGGAAGTGTCACCCATGCTTCGATGAAAACTGGCACCGAACATGTGGGCTCCCTCAACCTTACGAACCCAAACCCTAAACCCTAAACCCTAAACCCTAAACCCTAAACCCTAAACCCTAAACCCTAAACCCTAAACCCTAAAGCCTAAACCCTAAAGCCTAAAGCCTAAACCCTAAACTAAACCCTCAACCCTCAACCCTAAACCCTAAAGCTACAAGCCTCAAAAAGAGTTTATGTAGGCTTTTGAGGGGCCCACGGCACCAAAACTGAAAGACATGCTCAGGATGCTTCGCACTTGAGCTCTGCACGGTTTACGCAGCCTTTTAACTTGTGGGGTTTATAGGGTTTAGGGTTTAGGGCCTAGGGCTTGAGGCCTCCTTCAAAAGGGCTCATGATTCCGATCAAGCTTTGCACCCACATATTCGAAAGACTCGACAGGGCTTTAGGGCGATCACCTTCAGAGGGATCACACCACAGACTTGTGTAGGTCTGGCGCTTGCGACTCTTGGCTTCGCGGAGTCGCTCCCCCCGCCTAAACTTGTCAAAGTTTCGGTCTGACCCTGTGCAACACAGTTTAAGAAACTCCTTTTTGCCCATGCCCCTCAAAAAGAACTCTTAAAGGAACCTCCATTCTACTCCAGATAGACTCTAAGAGAGTTGTCCGGGTGTGGAGTTTCGGGGGTCAAGCCATTTTGTAGTCAGAAGCCTATTCGAGGTCTTCCTGAGAGGGATAATGCCCTTCCAGCATATTAGAAGATAGAAAAGTTTCTAATTGAGATTTTATGATTTTTCAATTAGAAATGTATTTAGTTTATAAGGGGCCCTATGAATTCATATTAAGATAGCGAGCCCCATGAATAATGATAATATGAAGAGATGTGTGACTAACCGCATGAATTCTCTACAGGATCATGATGGACGCTTCTCTCTTCTACAATCTCATAGTGTTATTATCATGACGGCGCAATCATAATATCTTTGTGTGCGCCTTTAATATACTAATAATACACCCGGGCTCACTGTAATTCTCTTAATATATGCCCGGGAATTCTCGTAATAATACTAAATATCCGGGGCTTACAGTATATTTATTCTTGCCCCGGGGAACGTTATGATAATATTATTCACGGCCCCAAAGGACTTATAATATTGGGCCGTGAGAACTAAACCAATAAAGTGAAGATAATATCAATTATTAATGCGTTTGTAAGTGAACGAAGTGAGTGCACGAAACGTACGAATAATATGAACGAAACACGAAGAGAGCAGTGAATTAGAGAACGAAATGAGGGACGGGTCTCAAAGTTGGGTCTTTCGGGCAGGAGGATCCTAAGAAGAATTGAGGCATAATCCTTTTCCCTCAGTTTAGGACCTTTATGTTTGCTGGGTCCCCTCAAATTCAAGCCCAAACCAAGTCGTTTGGGGGATGCCTACTTTTCCCCCGGCAGGCAAGGAGTGGAATGAGGGGTGCCATCGTTGAAGGGGGGCTCAGGACATGCCAGTTGTCTAGTCTCGGGATGCAACCAGCCCTAAACCCTAAACCCTAAACCCGAGACCCCAGCTTCCAACCTTTCCCCCTTTCTGTCGACAGCTGACCCTTCATCGACAGGGTCACGCAAGAACACCAGAGTGTACAAAACCGCTTACTCCGATCTACATGCAGACCAAGGCATATACCCTCTCTGAAAAGGAGAGTGCGGCGACGGGTATCCGAACACGAACATCCTGACTCGGAAGATTCTGCATGAAGCAGCTCCGGGATCACAGGGGAGAGGCGGCGCCGACCCAGCGCCCCTAAACACCAAACGCCCGCACGCTGAACCCTAAACCCCCATACATCCCTCAACCCGGTTGAAAAACCCAAAGGCTTCAACCCCCGAACCCTCAACCCCCCAAACCCTCAAGACCCCGCAGCCCCTAAACCCACAGAGTCTCGAAGCCGTTTGTTGAACTCAAAAAAATCCGAGAGAACCGAGCCGTGGTGGTGGCAGCGCTCAGAGAGTTTCTGCTCAGGAACCCAGATTTCAGACAGCCTTGCGCCATTGAAGTTGAAGATGTACGGCTGTTGGGCTTTTTCCGAGTGTCGTCGCTTAGGGTGCAGATTTGGCTTTAGAGGTTAAGGTTTAGGGGTTGAGGTAATTCGCATCGGCTTCCAGCCGAGAGCGTCTAGAACAAGCAGACCAGGATAAGTCTCCTTCCCCCCCTTCTCAACCCCCCCCCTCCCCCCTGTGCCCGCATCGTTTGGAGGAGCCAGCCGCAGACCGTTGGGGGACTCTGCCAGGAAGACCCTGGCAGGAAGAATTCTCTGCGCACGCAACTGTTTTGTTTGGGGGTGGGGCTATGCCTATTGTAGTTCCTTTTTGGGTTTGTTAAAGGGGATCCCAGTATCGGGTCTGGGTCTAGATCAGGTGTGCTTTCAATGGGAGGTTAGTAAGAAAGGAGCCCCGGAACCGCCCTTTTTGCATCCGGACTTCTGTGGGTATCGCCCTAAACACTGCACTAAGGCCCAAAAAACCCTGAAACCCAAACTGCAGGGTGGGTGCTAGGCTCGTGCTATGGCTGCGGCTGTCGCGGGCTGCTTGCAGAGCATCATCATCTTTTCTGACCTGGCGACCAACACAATCACATAATCTGCAGTCAAGCCAGTATGTAGGGGGCCGAAAAAGAGACCTAGACATTGCCATACAAGGGACTTTTCTTTTCCCCCCCCCCAACCGGAGGATCTCTATGCTCAGGTGCTAGTTCTTGGGCCCCAGGATGGCCAAAATTCGCACTGCACCCGGTGTAGACTTGCACTTCTACACAGATACCGCCCTCAACCGCCTCACGGCTGCAGCGTGCACCGAAAATCACAGGGATGCTGTAACTCTTGCCTTCGCGCTTCGGGGCCTTGTCCGGTTCTGGGGAGCTTTGCTCCGGGATTTTGCCGCACTTTGGCCTTTTGACCCATCCAGTCGCCGCAGCGCCCGCGAGTGCTTGTCACCCGCTTCGCTGCAGCTGGCTCCCAGCACTTCGTGCGAAGCCTTTCTGTACAAAACGGGCCAGGCGAAAGAGCAGGAAAAAGGCAAAGAACTGCGGGGTGAGCTACTGTCACGCCGTCCTGCTGTGAGCCGACTCAGACACTACACTAGATATCGGAGCAGATCCGGAAACGGAAGTCACAAGAGAAGGCTTCACAACTCTGACTGCTTCGCCAACTCCTGCTTCTGAGGGCGGCACGAAATTGCCCCAAAACCCTCGCCAAGCGAAACTGTACACTGTAAACATCCCTTGGCCAAGGAGAGCCGGGCTGCGAGAAACTTGTGTGCCCGCTTGACGGAAAATGTTGGCTGGACACCGCAAGTGTCTACTCTTAACAGTTCAAAGAGTACTTGAAGTAGCTGAGGTTCATGCAGACGCTCGCCGGCAGCTTGTTTTGCGACAAGTCAACATCCGCATACTCTGGCAGCTGATCAAAGATGCCAGGAGGAAGCACGGACAGGTTGTTGTGCGATAGGTCCAGCTTCAACAGCGAGGTCAGCCCACTAAACATGCCCGGAGGAAGGGAGGTCAGGTTGTTGTTCCCCAGGTACAAGGCAAATAAACTGCTGAGGTTATTGAAGACGCCGGCAGGAAGGGAGCTGAGGTTGTTGGAATCCAAGAACATGCCCTTCCTTGAGGACGCAATGAACCCTAAAATTGGGGCCTAGACCCTACACTACGATAATTTCCTATTAGGTATATGAACCATAAACCCTTCCAGGGTTCATAATTCGTCCCCAAGGTTCAGATGCGTTAGCCCTCGGAACGCATCTGGAGCCACCGAGCTGATATTCTGCTTCGATAGACTCGCCCAGGTACCATGTGGGAACCTGGGGCAGCTCTCCAACCTCCGCAGGCCCAGGTCGTCCGGGCGAGTGCAGATGCATGGGCCGCAGGCCAGATGGGCCGGCAAGTTCAATGTGATCAGCGCCGTCAAGTTCTGGAAGAGGCTCGGGGACAGAGAAGCGAAGTCATTGTCCCCCAAATGCAAGGACTCTAACCGGCTCAAGTCGTCAAACATGCCTGAAGGGAGGGCAGTCAGCGCGTTGGACTCCAAACTCAGGTGCTCCAGACTCGTCAGTATGTCAAAGATGCCCGGAGGCAGTGATGTCAGAGCCATGGAATTCAAACTCAGGGTGGACAGCGAGGTCAAGTCTGCAAACAGATCCTGCGGAAGGCTGACAACTGCGTTGCCGTCTAGACGCAGGACCAGCAGCGCGTCCAGGCCAGCGAAGAGGTCTGGCGGCAGCGAACTCAGCTTGTTGTGCTCCAAGCTGAGATCCTCTAGCCTCGTCAGCTTGTGAAAAAGCTCGGGAGGCAGGGAGGCCAGGTCGTTGTCAGACAAGGAAAGCGTGTTCAGATTGGAAATCTTGTTGAAGACGCTCGCAGCAAGGTCTGCCAGTTTGTTGCCATGCAGGTATAGGTGCTCCAAGCCAATCAGCTTGTCAAAGATGCCTGCAGGCAGCGAAGACAGCCTGTTGCCTTGCAAGCGCAGCGTCTGCAGAGTTGTGAGCTCATCAAAGATACCTTCCGGCAGCGAGGCCAGCCTGTTGTCAGACAAGTACAACTCCCGAAGCAAGCTGAGCTCGCGCAGCGCCCCTGCGGCGATACTGCCGAGACTGAGCTCAGCTAAGTCCAGTCGCAATCCAGGAGGGCAGGATTCCAACCTTTTGGGCTCGCAGGGTGCACAGTATAATGGTTGCACTTTTGAGTAGCCCCCCCCCCCCCAACAATTTGGCTCCTCCTCTTGCTCTCATCTCCCTCTCCGCTTCCTCCTCATCTCCTGTGCTATTCCTCTTCCTCTTCTTCTCCAAATTCCTCCCAGGCTGTCGGGCTTTAGGCTGAGAGCTTAGGATGTACGTCGATATGTCATGTAAATCTGTGTGTATATGTATATATGCTACCTGCCCTCGGTTATCCACACTTTTGGGGTTGCCAGCAGCCAATTTGCTCTCTTGACGGGCCGGAGGCCAAAACAGAAATGGGAGCGGAGGTTGTAAAATTCATGCACACGACTAAAAGTTCAGGACTATCATCTCTACTATTTAGGTGTTAGGTGCCCCATGTGTAAGATGTAGATATTTGAGTTGGTCTGAAAAACAAACTGGATGTAAACTATTCTTATTGAAAAGCCGGAGGTCCATGTGTCAGAAAACAAACACATGGTGCCCCCAAAGACAACCAGGTTTAGTATACTTCACATGCTGTCAAACCTGACTGTAGCGTATGGGTGGTGGCATACCAGTCTATACATACATACATATAATATATATATATATATATATATATATATATATATCAGAGGGTGAAGGTTTAAGATGCACTTGAATTCTTAATCTTGCTGTTTTACATCTGAGTGGTTGAGGAGTCGTGGTAGTAGTGTTACAACTTTCACATTCTCATTTTTCCAGCTGTGTATTCGCTTTATATGTGTGACTTGGTGCGTAATCTGTGTACTCAATCTTGGTTGGAAAGAAGTCTTGTCACACAACATATTGCTTATAAGCATTTAGTTTGCTTATAAACTGGGGGGGCGCCATGGGTCTTCCAACATAGCCAGGACCCCTGACCCCCCCCCCCCCCCCCCGAAGGAGACTAGAAGAACACCCGCACGAAAAAACAAATCCCCTTCATAACATAAATGTATGGAAACTTTGGGATGTTGTGTCCTCTCCATCTATCCAAATACTGGGCACATCGACCTCCTCCCCCCTGCCCCCCTCCCCTCCGCTCCCTGCTTTTTTGTACATGTTTGTTCAGGGCTTTTCTGTAAAATTCTATCGGCTAAGGGTTTATGGCTTTAAAGAGAAGGCTCAAAGGCTTTCACCCTCCCTCCACATTTTGCCGCTCTTTCTGCAGCCAGAAGACCTCCAAAGGCCAACCGCGTCTGGACCGGTGCAGACGCATGGAGAGCAAAGTGACGCCTTGTTGAGGAGGTCAGCCGGGAGATCCACCAACGCGTTGCCGGACAAGTGAAGAGCCCTGAGAACGGGCAGCTGGTCAAACATGCCAGGAGGAAACGACTTGAGGTTGTTGTCCTGGAGGTTTAGGGACGATAGCTTGCTTAACCCGCGGAAGGCACCGGCAGGAAGGGAGATCAGGTTGTTGTTCTGCAAGTGCAAGTGCAATAAACTGCTCAAGTCATCGAAGATGCCGACAGGAAGGGAGCTGAGGTTGTTGGAATCCAAGGTCAAGTTCTCCAGATGCGTCAGCCCTCGGAACGCATCTGGTGCCACCGAGCTGATATTCTGCTTCGATAGACTCGCCCAGGTACCATGTGGGAACCTGGGGCAGCTCTCCAACCTCCGCAGGCCCAGGTCGTCCGGGCGAGTGCAGATGCATGGGCCGCAGGCCAGATGGGCCGGCAAGTTCAATGTGATCAGCGCCGTCAAGTTCTGGAAGAGGCTCGGGGACAGAGAAGCGAAGTCATTGTCCCCCAAATGCAAGGACTCTAACCGGCTCAAGTCGTCAAACATGCCTGAAGGGAGGGCAGTCAGCGCGTTGGACTCCAAACTCAGGTGCTCCAGACTCGTCAGTACGCCAAAGATGTCCGGAGGCAGTGATGTCAGAGCCATGGAATTCAAACTCAGGGTGGACAGCGAGGTCAAGTCTGCAAACAGTTCCTGCGGAAGGCTGACAACTGCGTTGCCGTCTAGCTGCAGGACCAGCAGCGCGTCCAGGCCAGCGAAGAGCTCTGGTGGCAGCGAACTCAGCTGGTTGTGCTCCAAGCTGAGATCCTCTAGCCTCGTCAGCTTGTGAAACAGCTCGGGAGGCAGGGAGGCCAGGTCGTTGTCGTCTAAGCCGAGCCGTTGCAAGCTGGTCAGGTTATCAAAACTGCCAACAGGGAGAGATCTGAGGTTGTTGTGGTCCAAGTCGAGGTGTTTCAGACTGGTCTGCCCTTCCAAGATGTCTGAGGGGAGAACAGTCAGCTTGTTTCGCTGCAGACTCAGCGATTCAAGAGACCTCCCATTCAAAGCACCTGGGGCTAGGGAGCTGATGTTCTGGTCATCGAGGTCTAGCCAGGCGGCAGAAGACTCCCAGCAGACCTCTAACCTCCAGCTGCCCCGGTCATCCGGCCCGGAACACATGCAGCCCGCAGAGATACACGGTAGGTCATATGGTAGAATCACAGAACTCAACCGGGTGGTCTTTTCAAAGAGGCGAGGAGGTAGAGATGTCAGCCAGTTCTCCTGCAAAACCACCGTCTCCAGGCTGATGAGATCATCAAAAACGGCTGGTGGTAGAGAGATCAGCCTGTCTGGCGATGTCCGAAAGCAGGGGGAAAACGAGTATGGGAAAACAAACACAAATTTTGAGCCACTCCGCGAGCCTGTTGCGCTCCAAGGACAGAAACTTCAGACTCCTCAGCCCGTCAAAGACGCCCAGAGGCAGAGACGTCAGCTGGTTGCGTTGCAAGTCTAGCTGCACGAGGGCAATAAGTCCTGAAAACGCTGCTGGAAGGAGTGACCTTGCAGGTTTAGGGTTTAGGGTTTAGGGTTTAGGGTTTAGGGTTTAGGGTTTAGGGTTTAGGGTTTAGGGTTTAGGGTTTAGGGTTTAGGGTTTAGGGTAGTTTCTTGACATGCCAGTAGAAAGGATCGTGTTGCCTCTTGTCTAGCAAAGAGCCGACATAGAAAAACCAAGTTCTATCCAGACCAAAGATGCATCAGGGTGTTGTGACGCAGTCTTAGGATTTTCAGACTGCTCAACTCGTCAAAGAAACGCACAGGCAATGACACCAAAAAGTTGGTGGCCAAGTCAAGCTCCACCAGACTGGTAAGACCTTGAAGGAGGCCAGCAGGCAGGGAGCTAAGCCGATTGCGATGCAAGAACAGCTTTTCCAGTCTGTTCAGCTTGCGGAAAAGGCCCGAAGGCAAAGAAGTCAGCTCATTCTCCGCCAGGGACAGCTCTACTAAGTTGGTGAGCTCATTGAACACGCCAGGCGGAAGACTTGTCAGCTTGTTGTAACGCAGATCCAAGTACGTCACCTCTCGTGCAAGCCCCTGAAATGCATCCGGAGCCAAGGAGCTGATGTTTTGGTTGTGGAGTGTCAGGGGACGTGAGTCAAACCATGAAGTATGCCACCATCTGCAAGATTCCAGTCTCCAGAATCCCAGATTGTCTGGCCCGGAGCAGAAGCAGGGTTGGCATGGCCTCGTGTCTGGCAATTTGACCTTGCTGGTGCTCCGGGGAGGGTTGAATGAATATGGGCACCATTATGCAGGGGAGATGCTTATGTATCTATTTTGTATCTACTTGTACATAAATAAAAAAGAGTATTATAAAAATGAAAGACGAAAAACCAATATATATATATATATATATATGTATATAATTAATTATAATTAACTCTATATATATATATATATATAGGTATATGGGAAATGTGTATTCTGGCAAAGGTACAGCCCGGAGCGAGGGGAGGCCGTCCAAGGCCTCTGCGGAAAACGATCTCAGCGGGTTGCTGCTCAGATCCAGATCTTCAAGCCATGAGAGGCCTCACACATGTTCTTAAGGTTTAGGGTTTAGGGTTTAGGGTTTATAAGGTTCATAGGGAGCTTAAACAGGGCGTTGCTAGGTTCTATAGGTTTATAGGGCTTGCAGCCATTTCAGTTGGGTTTTGGGGTGTTGGGATGAGGCCTCGAAGAGCCCCCTCTGCCACGCTGCTGATGTTCAAGTCGCGAAGGTCGACCTTGGCGACTCGCAGGATCTGGGCCAAATTGCAGTTGTCTAGTTGCCGGTGTCCAAGCTCCTTGAAAACGACATGAACCCTAAAAGGGTTTATTGGTTCATATACCTTTATAGGAACGAATAGTAGTATAGGGTATAGGACCCCAATTTTCGGGTTCGTTTGGTCCCCAAGGCTCGTCCGGGGGCGAGCAAGAACACGGATAGCATGGGAAAGCTGCAGCATCCTTCGTCCTCACCGGGTACTGGCCGTTTGAAAGGAGTAGGGCAAGCACCACACAAAGCAGGGAGGCGGTGTAGCAAGGCGCAATCAACCAGCACCAGTTTCTTCCAGATTTGCTGCGGGCGTCGTAGTGGTAGCTGTGACGCGGGATCGGAGGTTCCGTCTCGACACGCCGCCGATCCAAGGCATGTGACACGCATAAGCTGTGCGCCACGTTCATGTAGATGGCCATGTATCCCCCAAAGTCCACCGGAAAGGCTAAAGCAGGGCTCTCCCAAATCACTGCGATGTGGCACAACAAGTAGCCCACGTCCAGCAGGGCATCCATGAGGGCGGCGCCGCGTCTGCATCTCTGCGGCCAGAGGAGCAGCACACCCGGATAGATGCAGTTGCAACTGAGCAATGCCTATTCTGAACTTGGCACCCCGGCAAAAAAATCTAGCTTTTCCTCAGGGATTACAGTAACCAAAAAGTGGAAACTATTTCCAAGTACCCCTAAGATGCAATGAAGGCCCAGAAGCCACAGATAGATCTCTCAGCGTCGTATTGCTTCATGCCGAGCGCCACCTGGGGGGAGGGATCCCCATAGAGGAATCAAAAAGAGCTCCCCTTTTTGGTAGTTAAGGCTACTAAGAAACCCTTAGGATGATCCCCCCCCCCCACCCCCCTCCCCCCCCCCTCCCCCCCCCCCACCCCCCCACCCCCCCCCCCCCCCCCCCCCCACCCCCACACCTTGAGGGTGCGGGAAAAAAGGTGGGAAGGAAAAAAAGGGGCCCCCGGATGAAAAGACCGAGCCACTGCGGCCCCGAAGATGCCCATCTTGCCAAAGGCCTGCAGCAGCACTGTCGAGGCCTGGAGGGCAGCGACCTTCAGGGCGTAGTAGCGACCACTGAGCCCAAAATACATCTCGTAAATGGCCTGCGTCGGGTGCATCGGGTGGATGCCTCCGATGCCTCCGGGTCCCTCCTGAAGGCAATTTCCCGCAAAGGCCAAGAAGAGCACTGCGTAGGGCACAGCGAGCAAGATGTAGACATGGATGGGCTCCTTGCGCTCGTCGTCCCAGGCAAACATGCCGTATCTGACTGCAAAGAACCTAGGCATCCATCTTTTTAAGGGGCACAGCAAACCCTAAACCCTAGAATGGCTTCAAAGGAGCTCATGGAACTCCCGCCAAGACCTTCCTAGGCATTCCTACATGAGCTATAGTCCAAACCCCCCTGATATGCCCTTGAATAAGCCCTATGTACTTCCCTACATCAACCCCGTTTAACGACTTACTTCATTTAGACCCGAATATGAGCCATGGGTGTGCCTTCCGTCTAGCCGAGCATCAATGTAGCGCAGATGGCGAACAACCACAGTAACCGAACTCTCCAGTCTGGTTCGACATCTGCGCCCTGGGTCGGTGTCCCACGGCATATTTCATTTTCTTGGTAGGGCTTTGGTGCTGCCACTCGTCGGGGTTGGGGTTTGGGGTTTAGAGGCAATTCTACAAACAAATTCTCATCCAGAAGTTAAGGGTTTAGGGTTTAGGGTTTAGGGTTTAGGGTTTAGGGTTTAGGGGTCTCAGCAGCCTTGAGCTCTCACCCCTACAGGCTACTTCAAGTGGGGGGGGATACGATGTGCAAGCATTCCGACCTCTAAAGGCCATGCTGGCTCTACCCTTGTAAGCGCCCTAAACCCTAAACCCTAAACCCTAAACCCTAAACCCTAAACCCTAAACCCTAAACCCTAAATCCCTTCAAGGCTGAAGAATCCGTGGCCTTGTCCCGTTGCGGCGACATCTTGGACGACAAGGTCTCCCACTTCTCCGGCTTGATGTCGTCCAGCAGACCGATGCCGTCCGCCAGACGGCACAGGCCGTCCAGTCTCCTGGGCTGCAACTCCCCTCAAAGGTCCTATAAAAAGCACGGGAATCTAATAGATTCTATGAGAGGTTTCGGATGTGTCGCGTCGATCTCTTAATTTTATAACAGCAACCCAGTCTCTTCTCGCGCCTTGCCAGGGACGCCTCCAAGAGTCGGACCGTTGCCAAGTACCCGCGGAGGGAGACGACGACTTCCTTGGGGACCACATGAACCCTAAAATTGGGGTCCTATA